ACCTGTGATATGCAGATGACACAACCTTGCTTGCTGAAAATGAAGAGGACTTGAAGCACTTACTGATGAAGATCAAAGACCACAGCCTTCAGTATGGATCACACCTCAACATAAAGAAAACAAAGATCCTCACAACTGGGCCAATAAGCAACATCATGATAAACAGAGAAAAGTCTGAAGTTGTCAAGGATTTCATTTTACTTGGATCCACAATCAACACCCATGAAGCAGCAGTCAAGGGATCAAAAGACGCATTGCACTAGGCAAATCTGCTGCAAAAGACCTCTTTAAAGTGTTTAAAAAAAAAAAGATGCCACTTTCAAGACTAAGATGCACCAACCCAAATCACAGTGTTTTCAATCATCTCATATGCATGTGAAAGCTAGACAATGAATAAGGAAGACCAAAGTAGAACTGATGTCTTTGAATTATGGTGCTGGCGCAGAATATTGAATATACCATGGATTGCCAAAAGAACAAACAAATCTGTCTTGGAGGAAGTACAGCCAGAATGCACCTTAGAAGCAAGGATGGCGAGACTACGTCTCACATACTTGGGACATGTTATCAGGAGGGATCAGTCGCTGGAGAAGGACATCATGATTGGTAAAGTAGAAGGTCAGCGAAAAAGAGGAAGACCCTCAAGGAGATGGATTGACATGGTGGCTGCAACAATGGGCTCAAACATAGCAACAATTGTGAGGATGGTGCAGGCCTCGGCAGTGTTTCGTTCTGTTGTACATAGGGTCGCTGTGAGTTGGGAGTTGACTCCAAGAAAAGGTTAAAAAAATCCCACAGTTCCCAAATTGTGTTCTATTCTCATTGTCACCTACCTTCTTTTAGTCTATACTTTGACTACAGGGTCTTTCTTTTTGTTGCCTGAGAGACATTATGGAGTAATGAGAAATGAATTAAGAGTCTGGTTTGCCTCAGGCTAGGAGTGTTATAGCGTAGGCTCTAGGTGCATCCAGAACAAGAATCTAGCCCCAGTCCTGTCCTTTACTAGCTGTGATGGTTAAGGTTATGTGTTAACTTGGCTTTGGTTTGGCAGATATTATGTAATCATTCTCCATTTTGTGATCTGATCTGAGCAGCCAATGAGTTGAAAGGCCAATGAGTTGAAAGCCAATCAGTTGAAAACCAATGAGTTTCCTTGGGGGTGTATGGCCTGCATCAAATACATATCGATGTTCTGGCAAAGCTCTCTCTGGATCCTGCATCTGACTCCTCATCCTCTGGCCTCCCATTCTTGGGACATGAGCTAGCAGCCTGCCACCTGACCTGCAGATCTTGGGATTCGTCAGCTCCCACAACCCTGTAAGCCAGTAACCTTCCTCTACCTGGCCTGCTGATTTTGGGTTTGTCAGCCCCTGCAATCATGTGAGTCAGGAGAAGCCTCCAGTGTGACGCCTGGCCCATGGATTTGGGACTTGCCAGCCTCCACAACTTCGTGAGCCATTTCCTTGAGCTAAATCTATTTATATATATTTATACACGTGTAACTGGTTTTACTCCTCTAAAGAACCCAGCCTAAGACATATTAGCCACATGCTCTTGGGGTAATTACAAAGCCCCCTACGAGTCTGTCAGTTTGTCATACTGTGGGGACTTCGTTCTGTTGTACATAGGGTCACTATGAGTCAGAACCAACTTGACAGCACCTAACGTGAGCCTTAGGGAGCCCTGGTGGCACAGCAGTTAAGAGCTCAGCCGCTAACCAAAAGGTCTGCAGTTCAAATCCACCAGTCGCTCCCTGGAAGCCCTATGGGGCAGTTCTACTCTGTCACTATGAATCAGAATTGACTTGACGGCAACGGATTATGAGCCTTAGGTTCTTAATCTGTAAAGTGGGTTTGGCAAGTTCTCTCTTGTAGGACTGGTGGAATGTATGTAAAACACCTGACACATTACCTTACATATACTGGATCTTTAATGAATAGCAGTTGTTTCAAGTATTATTTTGACCTCAGACCCTACCACCCTCTCCTCTGGGAACTTTTTGTTGTTGTTGTTATCCAGGACATCTCACAGAATATGCAGCACTCTAGAACATGGCATTCCAAATCAGCAAAAACAAAGGAGCCCTAGTGGCACAGTGGTTAATGTGCTTGACTGCTAACCAAAAGGTCGGTGGTTTGAAGCCACCAGTGGTTCCATGCGAGGAAGATGGGGCAGTCTGCTTCTGTGAAGACTTACAGCCTTGGAAACCCTATAGGGTTGTTAGGAGTCGGAATTGACTCAAGAGCAGTGGGTTTGGTTTTTTGGTATAGATTTGAGTGTGGGGGCATCTTCCCCAGCTGATGCAACTCAAAATTCCTAGAATTTAGGCTGAAGACCAACTCCTTCTCTCCCTCCCACCTGCTTTTCCATCCAAAAACAGCTTTTCACACATTGTACCCCCACCAAAAATCTAGCCCTTGCTTAGAGTTGGCCAAATTACACTCAAGATAACCTAATTATAGTGACATTTTAATGGAGTGAGCTCTGGCTCTCCCAGGCTATGGAAGAGTGCTAGCCTAGTGGCCTCTGGGCACTGCTTCAAGGGAGTTATCGCTCTTATTTGTCAGGAAGTCTTGCAGGTGATGTGCTCATGCACTGTGTTCAACTGCACTGGGACAAGAGTGTGATGCCTTCCATACCCGACCCAGGTGGAGACTTCTCTGTGGTTTACCCATGATCCGCAAGAGCAGTTTTCCATTCCAGGCTTTCCCCTCATCTCTAAGATGCTCCATCTGAGAGTCTGGCCCTGCCACCACCCTGTTTACCTTAAAATTAACTCCCACAGAAGGAACCGCAGTTTCCCAGAGCCCCAAACCGTCTAGCTGGGGGCATCTACACTTGACTGCTTCCATCTGGAACCCCACCTCCTCACTCCTTTTTAATTCTTTGGGTCTTAGAGGTTATCTCACCATCCTCCTAATATAACTGCTGGTCCTAGGTGCTACAATTCTATAAGCAGGGGTGTATCTTGCTTATCCTAATGTCCCCATACTAACCCTTCAAAGAGCAAATGCTTAACTGTGGAATAAATGAGCCAGAGAGCAGGTTGTTTCATTTAAGATTTAATTTCTCTTACAGTCATGAATAAACCAAAAAAATCCAGGCATGTATCTTTTAATTTTACAGAACAGACTAAAAGGGATACAAGAATCCAAGAATTAACCATCTTTTATTCCTCTATTTCTTGAACCCCTTATATTTTAATACTGGGTTCTTTCACATTTCCAAGGAAATTCCCATTCCAATGTCATGTTGTCTTGTTCCATATCACAAAATAAGATGGAAGATTTCTCAATTTGTTTTGCAAAAGAAAAAAAACTCTTATTCTTAAACCTGATGAACAGCAATTCATGTACGACCAATTCATAAACTTAGATTCTGAATCTAATAAATTTTCTACTAAAAAAAAATTTGAAAAATACCAAAAAGAAAAAAAAGAGATAAATCTTTAAGTCGCGCATATAGAACAGGAACACAAAGATGAGATATACTGTGTTTCCCGGCCCCGCCCTGGCCCTCTACTACACAGAGTATTGACTGCCCTCTTTAAACAGAGTGAAGAATCTGCTTCAGACTTCACTGGGGGCAGTGCTGGATGTGGCACTGGAACTTGAACCTGCCACAGTGGCAATTCTTGCTTGTGCTCTCTGTTCCTCATCTCTCAAAGCCTCCTGATACAAGGATGGGAAGGAACTGGGGTCAGTCCCATTAACCTTGGCAAAAAACTTCAGGACTTTCATCTTGCTGGTTTCTGCATAGGCTCTTGGACCCCACAGGAATTCATAGCGGGCAGGATCACTATTGGGCACCTGTCGGTACTCCACGTACTCTTCCTGAACCAAATCTCTGGTGATGAGTTTCCTGGGTTCCCCATAGATGAAATCCTTGCTTCCAGAATATACCCCGATCAGACTGAGCACTTCCCAGATCTTCTCTTCAGGGGCACGGTTGCCCTCCATGAAGATCACGCCCAGGATAAGTATCAGGAGGCCGGTCTTGGGCATGCCCTGGTCATCACTCAGCATACCGTCGTAGGTTAGGTCTAGCGTTTTGACGAGGACATAGGAGTGGTCTATGGGGTCGACTTCCTTCACATCGATGCCAAAGACCACTTCCAGGCACTCACAGGCTTTCTTGAAGATCACCGGGAAGTGGTCCTTGTATTCTCTGATGACCACCTTCAGCATTTCTGCCTCTGTGATGGGCTCCTTCGTTAGATACTTGATGCTCATGAACTGCACCAAATTAGACACCTTCCTGTCTAATGCATCACTGAGCAAGACGTCAGCGGCTGGTGAGACACATGAGGTGCTTGGAACCTCTTCTTGGCTGCTGGGACCCTCATCTGGTTTGCTTGGTGGAGCAGCTGCAATGGCAGTTGAGGAGGAGCAGGCTCTCTGAGGACTCTGGGGCATACTCGACGTCCCAGCAGCAGACACCTCCTCTATGGAGACATCTTCCTCCTCAATCACAGGAAGCTTTGGACACACCAGGCCCTGTTTCTTACTTTGGGCCTGAAAGCGTTGCTCAGCCTTGCTGCGCTGACGCTTGTGACGGCGAGGCATGATGATTCTTGTTGGGGGCAGCAGGCAGGAGTATGGTAAAAGAGTGGACAATGAGGGCACACTGGCCTGGGGGAGAGAGGGGAGAGTGTGAGCGGCCTCAGATGAGAAATTCAACCTTGGCAGCTCTGACAAAGACTGACTTATAGGTCTTCTGTTTAGGTGGTGCTCTAGGGCCTCACAGGTTTCCTGACCTAGCTGATCTATGCCCCTAAGAACCTGAAGAAGAAAGTGACATGGTCCTCAGGACTGACAGTAGGGCAAATGGTGTCAGGCACTATGGGGTCCCCTCTGTTCTGGGGTGTGTGTGTTATGGTTTGAATTGTATCCCCCCAAAATATGTGTTGGAATCTTAATCCCTATACCTATGGATGTAATCCTGTTTGGAAATATGGTTTTGTTATGTTACGATATCACAGCAGTGTAGAGTATGTCCTACACCTAATCACTTCTGAGTTATAAAAAGAGCAGATTAGACATAGAGGCATGGGGTGGGGGTTGGGGGTGGTATATCAACAAGGAAAGACCATCAACACAACCAAGACTCTGATTTTGGACTTTTAACCTGTAGAACTGTGAGAAAATAAATTTGTCCTTTAAAACTACCCATCTGTGGTATTTGCGTTACAGCAGCACTAAGTAACTAAGACAGTGGGGCCCCTGGTAGACATTCAAGGTCCTCACCTTGACTCCTGGCAGTGCCTGGGCCTCCTCCACTCTGCTGACCTGAGGACACGTGCCTCAGACCAAGGTCCTCACCTCCTGGTTCCTTGAGCCCCTGTGAGAACAAAGGAGCCCATCACTGCAAGCACAGTCCTGAACCTCCCAGCACTGACAGAAGGGGCAGGATCAGACACTGTAAGGTCCCCACAGTTCAGGGCTACATGGTCCCCTCAGTGCTCACTCAGGATCCTCAGCTCTTCCCAGGGAAAGCCTGAGCCCCACTCTCTGCTGACCTGAGGCAAAACTCTCAGAACAAGAGCTCACACTCCTGAGACCAAGGAAGAGGGAGTGGGGGGGAGGAGGGGCACCACATCCAAGGACTCTGCCCCCGGTCCTCCTACTGTGACAGCAGAAGTAGGGCAGGGCTGTAGTTCCACATGTCCTGGAATGGGCACACATTCTCACATTGATAACTGGAAGACTTTGGAACTCCTCCTTCTGTTGACCTGAGTCTGGCCTCCTCAGACCAAAGACCTCACCTTCCTGAGACATCATGGGACACCACATTCAGCCACCAAGCTACAGGTCCTCCAAGGGCTAATAAGTGTGCATTTCTAAGGGGGTCTCTGCTATTGGAGTGGGGGGTCCTTTACATCCTTCCTCAGGGTCTTCACATCAATACCTGGAAGGGCCTGAACCTCCCCTCTCCTGACCTGAATCTGTCCTGCTATGACCAAGGCTCTCCACCTCCCTGACATCTCTGAGCTAGAAATGGTGGTAGGCGTGTACCTCAGCATGACATGCCTTCACAGGGTCTACAAAGGCTGACATCAGGGGCAAGGTGGGTTTTGTGGGACTTCCTTTATGCTCTGGGGTGGGAGATCCCCTCACTCCTTTCTCAGATATTCATTTTTACTTCTGGCAGGGATTGATTACATCTTGCTAACCTGACCTCTGGTTGACCTGACTTCACCCCAACAGACCAAAGCATGTCCTCCCTGAGACTAAACCATCCCCACTCCACCCCATGGCAGAAGTTAGGATCCACCCCCCACTTCGATAGAAGTTAGGACATGTCACACCCAGCCAAAGCTGTCCAGTGTCTTCCACGGCTCAGAGCAGGTACTAGGCCACATCTGTTCTGAGGTGGGGGCTACCTTCAGTCCTCCCTCAGAGTATTGATCTTTATACCTGGCAGGGCCTCAGTCCCCACTTCGCTGACCTGACACCTCCTCCTCACAGCAAGGCCTTCACCTCCCTGAGACTACGGAGACAAAAGTGAAGAGGCGCCACATCCAGCTATCCCTTCCTGGAGTCTCCCAGGGCAAACAGCAGGGCAGGTTTCTGTGGGATCCCCTCTGTCTGGCGTGGTGGTTACCCTTAGCCCTCCTTAATGTATTCATAACAACTCCTGACTGGGCTTTGTCCACCTCTCTTCTGCTGACCTGAGAATCTCTCCATCGGGCCTAGGCCCCCATCTCCCTAAGACAGCCAACAAGGAAGTGTGGAGAAAGTGCGGAGAGTCAGGGGCAGCCCTACCCAGACCTCCCAGGGTTGGCAGCAGGGGTGGGTTTCTGTGGGGCCTCCTCTGTGTGGGAAGTCTGCTCAATCCTCCCTCAGGGTCCTCATCTTGTCCCCTGATAGAACCTGGATCCCTCCGAGGACGCGACTCTGGCCCCTCAGACGAAGCTGCAACTCCTCAGATGCCCAAGGCGCAAGTTGGTAAACACCACATCAGGGGACCCTGCTTGGGGTTTCCGAGGGCTGACGGCAGGGTCAGAGCGGTGCCACAAACCTAATTTTTGGGGTTGCGGTGGTGGTGCACAGTCTTACTCAAGGCATCATTATTTACTCTTTAAAGAGCCACCACCCCCTCGCTTCTGTGTCCCTCAGCCCAAGGCCCCCATCTCCTCGAGACCCCGGAAACAAAAGTGAGGGCGGCGCCTCTCAGCTCCCTGCCCCGGGCCTCCAACCTCTGAGAATAGAAAAGGTTTTTGCGGGGTCCTCTCTGTGTGGAAAGTCCCCTCAGTCCTCCCTCAAGGTCGTCACCTTTGCCCGACAGGGCCTGGACCCCTTCCTCTGCTGACCTGACTCCAACCCCGTCAGACGACCCCGCACCCCCTCAGACGCCCAAGGCGCAACTCCACATCCGCAGACGCTGCCTGGAGCTTCCCAGGGCTGATGGCAGGGGCAGGGCTGGGGAGAGGGGCTAGAGGGGCACGGAGGGAGGAGGGGTGGCGCACTGGAGGATGGGAAGGGAGCCTCTATCTGCGCTGGAGAACCTCTCTATCCTCCCTCAGGGTCCTCATCTTGCTCCCTAGCGAGACCTGGCCCCCTCCCTCTGCTGACCCGACTCTGACCCCCTTAGACGACGACGCCCCTCCTCAGACGTCCAAGGCGTAACTCCACATCCGGGCACCCTGCTTGGGGATTCCCAGGGCTAACTGCGGGGGCAGGGCTGGGGAGGGAGGCTAGAGGAGCACAGAGGGAGGAGGGGTGGCACACCGGAGGATGGGAAGGGAGCCTGTATCTGCGCTGGAGGACCTCTCTGTCCTCCCTCAGGGTCCTCACCTTGCCCCCTAGCGAGGCCTGAACCCCTCCCACTGCTAACCTGACTCTGACCCCCTCAGATGACGCTGCGCCTCCTCAGACGCCCAAGGTGCAATTCCACATCCGGGGACCCTGCCTGCGGCTTCCCAGAGATGACGGAGGAGGGGGATAGGAGGATCTAGAGAGGCACGGAGGGAGGAGGGGTGGCATGGGGGGTAGTGGGGGCCTTTGTCCTCCCTCGGGGTCCTCACCTTGTCCCCGGCAGGGCCTGGATCCCTCCCTCTGATGACCTGACTCCGCCCCCTCAAACAATGCAGCGCCTCCTCAGACGCCCAAGGCGCAGCTCCACATCCGGGGACCCTGCCTGGGGCTTCCCAGGGATAAGGGCAGGGGCAGGGCGAGGCTACGAGAGCACGAAGGCAGGGTGGCGCACTGGAGGATGGGAAGGGAGCCTCTATCTGCACTGGAGGACCTCTCTGTCTTCCCTCGGGCTCCTCACCTTGCCCCCGCCCCGCAGGGCCTGGCCCCCTCCCTCTGTTGACCCGACTCCGGCCCCATTAGACGACACCGCGCCTCCTCAGAGGCCCAAGGCACAACGCCACATCCGGGGACCCTGCCTGGGGCTTCCCAGGGATGACGGGAGGGGCGGGGGACGGGAGGATCTAGAGGGGCACGGAGGGAGGATGGGTGGCGTGGGGGGGGGGAGTGGGGGCCTTTGTCCTCCCTCGGGGTCCTCACCTTGTCCCTGGCAGAGACTGGACCCGTCCCTCTGCTGACCGGACTCCGGCCCCCTCAGAGACGCCAGGCCTCCTCAAATGCCCAAGGCGCAAGTCAGGTAACTTCACATCCAGGGACCTTGCCTGGGGCTTCGCAGGGCTGATGGCAAGGGTAGGGTAAGGTTAGGGCCACTTTGGTCTGAGGTGATGGTTGGGTTCAGTCCTTGCTCAGTGTCCTCACCTCGTCTTCTAGCACTGCCTGGGCCCCCACCCTCCGTGGACGTGAGTCGCCTCCCTGACACCAAGGTCCTCACTGCCTTAAGACCCCCCGAGTTGGAAATGAGGAGTGGTGCTTATCCTGACAGCCCTGCTTCGGGGCTCCTGAGCTAACATCAAGAGTGAAGTGGGATTCAATTGGATTCTCTCTGTCCTGGGATAGGTGGACTTCTCACTTCTCCCTCTTAAGGAACTTATCTTGGCTCCTGTATCCTCCATTAAATGCTCCCTGGGAGAGACCCCCCACCCCAAGTAGAGGTGATAGCATATATCTATGTCTTGTTCTTGACTTCAGTGGAAAGCATATAACATTTCACATTTAATTGTTTGCTGTAGATCTTAGGAAATGGAAGTTTCCTTCTATTCTTAGTTTGTTAAAAGTTTACACCATGAACTCACGTTGAATTTCTTTCAAGGGTTTGCCTGTAGCCATTAACATGATCAAATGTTTTTTCTCCTCTAATTTGTTAATGTGAGGAATTAAAATTGAAAGTATTTTCTAATGTTAAATCATGTTTTAATTCCTTAAGCACAGCCTGTTTATTTAATTCACTGCTATGTTGAAAATGATATTAATTTATTCAGGATATTTGCTGCTATGTGAGTGAGCTTGGCTGAAGTGTTCTTTTCATGAGGATCTTCATCTGGTTTTTGAATCAAGGAGAGTTAGCCTGAAAAAAATGAGTTCAATAATTTCTCATTTTTTTGTATGACTTGGAAGAGTTTCCAAAGGCTGGTGATTACTTTTACTTGACCATTTGGTAGAAGGGCCTCCAAACTGCCTTATCCTGAACATTT